GGTGATAATGATAATACTATAATTTTCCTTCTTATTGCTCCTATTACAACTAATATCACAACTGCTACCACTACTACAACTACTACTCTGACTGCTACAACAACTACTACTATTCCTAACGATAACATCAATAATAATGATGATAAAGATACATGTATAGGCAATAACCGAGTAATAATTTTAACCAAAGGGCAATGAGGAACAGGCGAGGAACATCAAAAGCCTTAACGAAGGAGATGAGGGGAAGCGAAAGAGGGGAGAGAGAGAGAGAGAGAGAGAGAGAGAGAGAGAGAGAGAGAGAGAGAGAGAGAGAGAGAGAGAGAGAGAGAGAGAGGAGAGAGAGAGAGGAGAGAGCGAGAGCGAGAGCGAGAGCGAGAGCGAGAGAGAGAGAGAATGCCAGAACAGACAGTGAAAAACCAAGAAAGACAAAAAAACTAGACCTAAAAAAGAAAAGAAAAACAACAACAACAATAACAATCACGTAACAAACACCAAACGAGAAGAAAAACAAACAACAACAACGAAACCCCCCCCCATCAAAACAAAAAAACAAAAAAAGCAAATAAACAAAGAACGAAACGAAGACGTGGTAAAAAAAAAAAAAAAAAGAGGGGCGATATTATCTTAATTCGCCCTAATTGTTTTATGGCACCTTCCCGCTCCCGTCGCCAGTGCCAAGGGGAGTAAATCTTAGTCGTACTCGCTCGGGAATTGAAGATCCAGAAGAGGAGTATTGACTGAACCGCAACTCCTGACGAAGAAGAATATTTCGGAACTTAAGGTGAATGTGTACGTAAATGTGTACGTATAGGAGGTTAAGGTGTGAAGTACTGTAACTGAAATGTGTACGTATAGGAGGTTAAGTATATGTAATAATTGTGTATGTATAGGAGGTTAAGGTGTATATGTACATAATGTTAAATATGGTATAGGAGGTTAAGGTGTATATGTACATAAAATGTGTACGTATAGGAGGTTAAGGTGAATGTGTACGGAAGTGTACTGTTAAGGTGTATGTGTACATGAATGTGTACGTAAATGTGTACGTATAGGAGGTTGAGGTGTATATGTACGTAAATAAATGTGTACGTTAGGAGGTTAAGGTATATGAAATATTTGTATGTATAGGAGTAGCATATGTACGTACTATGTACATAATTGTGTACGTATAGGAGGTTAAGGTTATATGTACATAATGTTAAATGTGTACGTATAGGATGTTATAGGTGTATACTGTGTACTGTGTTACGATGTGTACGTATAGGAGAGGTTATATGGTGTGTTATACAGTGTATGTACATAAATGTGTACGTATAGGAGGTTAAGGTGAATATGTACATAAATGTGTACGTATAGGAGGTTAAGGTGTATATGTACATGAATGTGTACGTATAGGAGGTTAAGGTGTATGTGTACATCAATGTGTGACGTATAGGAGGTTAAGGTGTATATGTACATAAATGTGTACGTATAGGAGGTTAAGGTGTATGTGTACATAAATGTGTACGTATAGAGGTTAAGGTGTATATGTACATGAATGTGTATATAGGAGGTTAATGTGTATGTACATAATTGTGTACGTATAGGAGGTTAAGGTGTATGTGTACATAAATGTGTACGTATAGGATGTTCATAGATTCACGCTGACTTGTATACATGTTACATTCACAGACACAGAAACGTGTATATACGCAGATACACTTACCAATTTCACAAACAAGCAATTACAAAGAGATACACAAATACACACGCACACACACATACACAACAGACACAAAACCACACACATACAGACACAAACGCACACACACATACAGACACAAACACACACACACATACAGACACAAACGCACACACACATACAGACACAAACGCACACACACATACAGACACAAACGCACACACACATACAGACACAAACGCACACATTTACAGATGTATATGAACGAACACGTTTCTTCCAAAGCACTAGAATGACTGGAAGATACATATCTGCATATATCATCATTTTATACGGATTCTACTGTACCACAGAACAATGGTATCTTTCGGTTGCCACGTAGGGAATTTATATAACTTCTCTCCCTCTCTCTCTCTCTCTCTCTCTCTCTCCCTCTCTCTCTCTCTCTCTTCCTCTCTCTCTTTCTCTCTTTCTCTCTCTCTTTCTGTCTCTCTTTCGCTCGCTCTCACTCTTTGTTTGTTTGTTTCTTTATCTTTCTATCTATTTATTAATCTCCTTTATCTGTCTTTCCCTTCCTATCTGTTCTCTCCCTTTCTCTCTCTTTCTTTCTCTCTCTCTCTCTCTCTCTCTCTCTCTCTCTCTCTCTCTCTCTCTCTCTCTCTCTCTCTCTCTCTCTCTCTCTCTCTCTCTCTCTCTCTCTCTCTCTCTCTCTCTTTCTTTCTCCAAGCCCAGTCTTATCTTTTGTTTTCCGTGTTCTATTTCTTACTTCACTTGACATTTTTTGAACATTTTTGTCACTTTGGTTCAGTGTAATGTTAATTTCTTTTTAGGATGAAATGTTTATTGTTTCCTTTTTCGATGTCGGTTTCTTATTCATTTGCATACATCCAGATTTTAAAATCTGCACACATGTATGTACACTGTATATTTGTACATACATTGGCACAACGATACATACACACTCACACCT